AGCCTTCTTTATGGTCCAGCTCTCACTTCCATACATCACTACTGGGAAAACCATGGCTTTAACTATACAGACCTTTGTTGGTAAGGTGATGTCTCTGCTTTTTAAGATGCTGTCTAGGTTTGCCATCGCCTTTCTCCCAAGGAGCAGATGTATGCTTAGCTTACCTTAAAATAATTAAGATGTGGCTAAGTGGTGTGTATTCCTGTTTTGTTGTTTTGTTTTTAAAAAACCTTTGCATCTTCCTGTGTCCTGAATGCCTTACAATGTGTAGCTATGCTGCCTGTTTGTTTGTTTTTGTTAAAACATAGCAACATTGGATTAAAAAAAAAAACAACTTCTCAAATGAAGCTTGTAACTTAAAAAAAAAAATCTAGTTTGTGGGGTTCTTGATCTGACTTGGGGTGTGTGTTTGTTGACATACATCAACTCAGGACAAGGGAAAGACCCCCAAATTACTCTAATTTGCCTAATTATTTGGCTACCCTACAGAATTGATACATTTGACCAAAACAAAATGATTTTTAAAAACCAACCTAATTACACGTAGCTCTTTCATCGTGTTTATGCAGCTATGACACATTATTAATGTGGTTTCCCCAAAAATCTTACCGGTTGTCACATTTCGTGGACTAAACATATGCCTTATTCTTATTCCTATTTAGTGTTACTGGGCCCTGCATAGTGGTGACCCTCTGTGAACAGTTCATATCGCTAAGCTACGCACTACGGCTGGGGCAAAAGTCGGAGGAGGGGCTGGTTCTGAAGCAACCAAACCACCAACTAGTGTAGCTCTGATGTCTCCGGTTTTTTTCAGCCGTGAGGGAAAGGCACTTTTGCACGTGGTCACACCAGAGTTTCCCAAACTTGGGTCTCAAGCTGTTTTGAGATTACAGTTCTCATCATCCCTGACCGCTGGCTCTGCTATCTAGGAATGATGGGAGTTGTAGTCCAAAAAAAAGGCAGAAGACCCAAGTTTGGGAAACCCTGCGCTGGACATTCTCCTCACTCATTCTGTCACATGACTCTGCCCTGATGCTGAGCACAATTTGCATGCCAAAGGTGCCAGGCAGGGTCTGTACAGAATCGCAGGGCTCCTCTGTGCTCTTTCTCGCCGTTTTCATAACTCACCCATGCGCTGAAACATAATGTTCCTATTGTAAACGAAAGTGCTCCATATGCTGCGAGAGGTTCAAGTAACAGCTGCTTTGGGGACCATAACTCTGAATTCCCTGATCCTGGGTTTTTGTTGTTGTTTTTGTTGTATTTTTAAGCAGCACATTTCTTTGCATATATTTCCTGCGAGGGTGTACGGCAGCGCTTCACACTTGCTAAGAGGCTCTGAAATTTTGTTCCTCACGATCCTCTTCCCTTTTAATGTTTTCAGAAGTGTTGCAAATATACAGAACACTCAGCTGACCATGTAGAGAACCAGGGACTTTTCCCCCCTCAGCCGGAACTCAGTTCCATCACCTTTCAGGTGGACGCCATTGCCATTCTAAGAGAATGAGGGAGGCATTTGTGGTGAGTTCTGGCACCTCTTTTTCTAGAAAAAATACCACTGCAGAGGCAAATCTTCTATCGGAAGGGCTGCCCACGTCTAGTTTCAAGACAAAGTGCTATAATAAATGAAAGCAGGGGCCCTGAATTTCCCATCAACAGGTAAGCATTTGGACAGCAGCCTGAGCAGCAGACTGGTCAGTTTACCCGACTATGGTGAAATCCATTGCATTTTTATTTAAGCTATAGATAATATTTCCAAATGTGCTTCTATATATACATTAGCACATGCATCACCTGCCCACCTGTCCCCTCTTGTGTGTGTGTGACACATTTCCTTCTTTCTGGCATTGTGGACGGGATATATTCCGATGAAGATACCCTGGAGCTCTCTGTAACATGCCCATAATTGAAATATAGCTGGGAGGCATGGTGCTTTTATGGCTCCAGAGCTGTGATTAAGTACGGCATCATCATGTGGCATAATTACCAGTGCAGGCCCCATGGCAGAACAAGTCTTGCTTTTTCTGTGAGATGAGTAATCTTGCTGTGCGGCACTGAGCATAGAAATCTTGCACTCTTACCCTAGATATGCAGCTGTGGTGTCTCAGAAAGGAGAGAAGCGCTCCTTGCCTGCAGATGGAGGACAACTCCCGGCTGAGGCATTTTATTGTATTGCAAACAGATTCTACGGCTGGGAACACACAATACCTCCAAACCATGTTCTTTCCTTTCGAGAAACCTGGACGCTGCAGTTTACCCATCGCAGAGTTATAGTTCCCAGCAGGCCTTGACAAACTACAGTGCCCAGAATTCTTTGAAGGAAAGAATGTGCTTTGAATGTGCTTTAAAGGTGTAATAATAATAATAATAATAATAATAATAATTTATTTGTATCCCGCCCTCCCCTGCCAGAGCTGGGCTCAGAGCAGCTAACATCATATTAACAACATAATATACATAAAAACAAGCAATCAATCGATTAAAATGCATCCCAAAATTAATTCAATTAAATTAACATTAAAATTAAACTAAACAAATGGCAGTCCTCAGGTTAAATTGAAAGCAGTTAATACTCACCAGGACCAACTGTTTCAACTGATATTATAAGGTCCTGTGAGCGGGCTGGGAAACCTCCTTCGTGCTTGTTGTTATACAAAGAGAAAATGACTCAGACTGAACCCTGGCCAAAGGCCTGGCAGAACAGCTCCGTCTTGCAGGCCCTGCAAAAAGATGTCAGATCTTGCAGGGCCCTGGTCTCTTGTGAGAGAGCGTTCCACCAGGCTGGGGCCATGACCAAAAAGGCCCTGGCTCTAGTCAAGTGTACTGTGTGCTCCCAGGCTAGGCTGCCAGAGGCCTGAGCTTGCAAAGCCAAAGCAAACCACTTTGCAATACCATCCAGCTCCTTTGTGAGTGCTCCTTTGCAATCTGTAGCAGATTTGAAATGACATTAATATCCTAGCTGGCAGGTTCCATCTGCCCAGCTGTTGCTCTCTTCCCATTAATTTCAATGGGGATTGCACAGGAAGATGTCCTTAGTGGTGGGCTGTAGCCTAATAGTCACCCATGACTTTAGCAACAAACTCCACACTTTGGAAGATTTAGGAAGGTCAAATTGGTTGCCAGAATGTGTTAACGTCTAAAATAAGAACGAGCTGCTCTCATGCTCTAATGACTGAACCTGCTGCAAGTCCCCATGAAAGTAGCATTGCATCAAGCAGTTCACACTTTGTCTTGGCTTCCTGTCTCACATCCATGCCCACGGAGGATACAAAGGAAAGTCCGTCTTTACAGTTTTTATTATCTTAATTATGAGCTACCAAGAGAAATGAGGTGTGTGAGTGTGTTTATATATATTTAATTTGCCTGGGAAACAGATGCATCAGTTCATCAACATTTCTAAAGACTGAAATTGCACAGAAGTGACACAGAATGCTATAAATAGGGACATTCCTTTCCTTCAGCCTTCCTTTGCCTTGTGTTCTTGTGCAAAATGATTTAGAGCCATTCTGCAGATATTAAAATATTTCCCATACCATATGATGATTTGTTTTTTAATACCTCGTAACATTTTTTGTACAATTTTTTGGCCTAACAAGCTACCCTCCTCCTGCAAAAAGAGCTTTACGGAACAGAACAGTACCAACCAAATTACCAGCAAAAGGGCCCAGGGGATTTTTTTAGATGAGGAGCAGGATCCAAAGGCTTTTGAACAAATGTTGCTGGGAAGAACATGACTGCCTTTTGGGGTGCCAGCTCTCAAGACATGAACTTCTGGATAAAACTGTTATTACAGAAACATTGAAAGTCTCCAAGCCCTCTGGCCTAGCTGACCTGTTAAGTTGCGCCACCTGAAATGTTGCCTTTATATGAGAATTGAATCCAATTTCCTCCTCTTCCCTCTTGTTGTATCACCTCCCCTCAAACAAATCAGAATTAATGCTCAATAAAGGCTGGATCTCATCTGAGCTCCGGGTGAGCTTTGTACAAGCAAATCAGGATGAATGCTCAATAAACAGGTTGCCTGGAAGAGCCCTCAGTTCTCCCCGAGCAATATGAACTCCCAACCTTTCTCCCAAAGCTTGTTCAAGCACTTTGCACCCCCTCAAAGTACTTGTCTTAGGGGGATCTCTTCCACTCCTATCACTAGTGTGGTAATTTCTATGGGGCAAAGTTTTGTGCTTTGTGCTTCTGTCTGAGAGTTCTTCTCCAGGCAACGTTAACCTCTGTTTTCACAGAAGGTGAGCGAGGAACATCGTGGTGGAACCAAGCCTTTAATACCCTGTTTAGCTGAGAGCAGAATTCGTATCACCCACCTCTTGAGTGTTTCCTTTCCTCGCCTGGCACCCGTGAACTCCCTGCGAAGTGGATTGAACAAATCCCAAGTGCAAATATTTAACACCAGAGAGACAGTGGCTTCTTATAGTCAACTCCGCAGTGCTGCTAAAATCCAATTACCGGAGAGTCAATCACCGCACATGTTCCACTGTTGTGGGTACGGCAGCTTTTGGGCTGGCTCTGTTGGTTTTTTCCACAGAACAGATCTGAGGGCTTTTGTGGGGTCTAATTGGCTGTTAGATCTTTGGTACTCTGTCTATTTGCTAGGATGCCTGTTGGGGGCATTTTCAGTTGGATGCAAAGCATCCGAGCTCCTGAGTGCATTTATGAATAATACCAAGGCTTTTAAAAGAGAAAATGAAGGTTCCTGGATCGTCGTTTTGAAGGTATTCTCAGCTGCACGCACATACCTTGGTCTGTACAGAGGGACATACTATGGGCTTGGCCTTTTCCACCATTCTGCCTGCCAAGTCCATTGACAGGCCATCTTAAGGCATACTGTGGCCCACTGAGCTGATGCAGTCATTAAGGAACATATCAAAAGCTCCTTATATGCTAGATTAATGGTTAAGCAAAATCAGCAATGCCTATCCCAGCTAGCAGCGACTTTCCATGGTTTCACCCTCCCAGTTTAAAATGAAGTGCTAAATGCTGCTGCCTCTGACTGCATAGCTCAGTCAGTAGAGCACGAGGCTCTTAATGTCAAGGTGGTGGGTTCAAGTCCCACACCTTGGGCAAAAGATTCCTGCATTCTATGTACAGATGTCTTGGAAGGAGAGAGGCAGAAGCACTAAGGTCAGGGTGGCTATAGAAGAGGACAGAGAGGTATAGTGGGCACTGAGCCTAGTTTGGGCAGGTACTAACCTGACACAGCCTGACTTGCAGCAGCAGAGCCAGGATAGGTGTGTATTTTAGGGTCTGAGAGATGAATGTTGGCACTAACGCCAAGGTCAAAAGAAGTTTTCAGCTCCTAAACACCTTACAGTGGTACCTCGGGTTACAGACGCTTCAGGTTACAGACTCCGCTAACCCAGAAATAGTACCTCGGGTTAAGAACTTTGCTTTAGGATGAGAACAGAAATCGTGTGGTGGCGGCAGCAGGAGGCCCCATTAGCTAAAGTGGTACCTCAGGTTAAGAACAGTTTCAGGTTAAGCATGGACCTCCAGAACAAATTAAGTTCTTAACCAGAGGTACCACTGTAGTTTGTTCCTCAGATCATGTCTGTGTGTTTTCAAACAGTTGTTTATTTCACTTGATGCAGAAGATGGAGACAAATCGGGGTCCTTGCCAATGTTTTTTTTATTGTGCATTCATGATGGTTTGTGTTCATTATGGTATCTGGGCTGTTATGAATGATCCTGCTTTCGATACAGTCTGAGCATGGAAAGGTTCAGGGATGGACATACTGTTTCATTTCCAATCAGTGCTTGCCACATAACTTCCTGCTGAAATCCTGTGACTTTTTTGTGGTGTGTGTACGTGTGCCCAGCTCTAGTTGTGCTGTAGTGCAAGAGCGCCCCTGTAGATGGCAATAATATGGTAACACTGGGGAAGAATAGCAGAACATTGAATAAAGCAGAAGGATGTGTGGGCAGCCCCGTATAAATCCAGCACTGATGTGCTGTTACTGCATCAATGACTTGTTGCAGAATACAGTACACCTAAAAACAACAACCCTGGAGGGGCCTTGAGACAAGTGAGAAGTAAGAAGAGTCATAGGCAATCTGCGTTGTACCAAGAACTTGCAGGAACAATATCTTCTCCAGACTTCTAATTTGGGATCTGTAGATACACTACAAAACCGTCCCTGTTTTGTCATGTTCCCATTTGTGACTTCGGGGAATGGCTTGTGAAAGTGCTGTCTTTGTGAGTTGCCAGAGTTGCTAACCAGCTCTTCAGTCTTTGGCTTACACCCCAGGGTCTCCAGAAGTCAAATTTCCATGTGGAGAAATAGATACCGTACTTTCCCATGTATAGGACTAGGTGTTTTTTTTTACTTAAAAACTATGTGGAAAACTGTGGGTCGTCTTATACACGGGGCAATCTCCCCCCATTTTCTTAAATTGGAGTCCCTAAAAATAGAGGGCGTCTTATACGTGGGGGTGTCTTATACACGGAAAAATACGGTGTATCTCATTTCTTAGTGCGCATGCACGTACACACGTTAATATGTGAGCAGGAATACTTGGGCACTTGACTCTGGCTCACTTTAATTGTTTTGAGGGTCTCCTGGGTGTGTGTGGGGGAGTGTCTTGGAAGCTGATTAGGTGTTCCTCAGAGATTAGTGGATGAGTTTTTCCCAGAGTATATTTAATTTGCCAATACAGTGGTACCTCAGGTTACATATGCTTCAGGTTACAGACTCCGCTAACCCAGAAATAGTACCTCGGGTTAAGAACTTTGCTTCAGGATGAGAACAGAAATCGTGCTCTGGCGGTGCAGTGGCAGCAGGAGGCCCCATTAGCTAAAGTGGTGCTTCAGGTTAAGAACAGTTTCAGGCTAAGAACGGACCTCCGGAACGAATTAAGTACTTAACCCGAGGTACCACTGTACTGAACTTCCCTGGCAGTGCATAGCTACAACTGTATTGTTGGATTTACTGTAATTTTGTGCAAGGTAAAAAGGCAAAGTCTCAAAGACCACAAAGTGGCCCTGAATCCTTTGCAATGTGCTTGAGTTCTGTAGCAGATGAGTTGGCACTGGAGTTCAAAAATTCCCTGAATGCATAAAATGTGAAAACCACTACTCTGGGCTCTTCTAAGCATTAATACCCAACACAGTCCTCCTTTGTTTAAATGAATACATGGTTGCATGCCAGGGATGGGAAACCTGTGGCCCTCCAGACGTTGTTGGACTCCAGAGCCCATCAGGCCTAGCCAGCATGGCCGATGGTCAGGGTGATGGAAGTTGTAGTCCAGCAGCATCCAGAAGACTATACATTCCCCATCACTGCTGCATAATATTCTAGGGTAAGGGACCAGATGTCGAAAGATATTACTGGGCTTTAAGCATTCAGCACTGAACTCAATTTAAAAATAATTATGAAGCTTTTCACAAGCAGCGAAGGACATGTCTGAAGCATGACTCATATGTTCTAAAGCTGGATCTAAGCTCTGTATATCATTAAGTTGGTGTTGTGATGATCAGACTTTTATCATTAAAAACTTTTCCAAAAGTGTGGGATGAGATTTTTTGCTAAAAATTCTTCTGATCTTTGGAGATGCCCCTGCCCACCGGCTAATACTACCATTGCTGTACGGTTGCTATCTGAAATACAGTTGCTGAAGTGTCATGGGCACCTATTGGTTAGTGCCTGTGACATCATGGATGAATGGTGAAAGTCTTCTTCCCTTCAATCATAACAATTATTTATTATTGATAAAGAACTACACAACTTTTAGAAGACATCTGAAGGCAGCCCTGTATCAGGAAGTTTTTCAATGTTTGACATTTTATTATTTTTTATATTATGCTGGAAGCAGCCAGAGTGGGGGGGGGGGATATAAGTCATTCATTCATTCATTTATTCCCATGCCATTCTGAAATGTTCTTCATTGAGCGCTCTTCATTGTAACACTCTGCAGTGGTGCCCTGTAGACTGTAATGCTCAGCATCTCTGTCCATTGGCCACACTGGTATGGACTGCAGAGAGTTGTAGCCCATCAGCATCTGAAGGGCACCACGTTGGCTACCCTGATGTAGACTCTGACTTTTGAAACTTTGGTTGCTTCCAGATGACCTGCTTACTGAGCAGTTGTTGCGATATGCTTCCAGAGAAGTTGAATGAGGATGTAGGTGGTGCTGTGGTCTAAACCACTGAGCCTCTTGAGCTTGCCAATCAGAAGGTCGGTGGTTCGAATCCATGTGATGGGGTGAGCTCCCATAGCTCTGTCCCAGCTCCAGCCAACCTAGTACACCAGTGCAAGTAGATAAATAGGTACTGCTGTGGTGGGAAAGTAAACAGCGTTTCCGTGCGCTCTGGTTTCTGTCACGGTATTCCATTGTGCCAGAAGCGATTTAGCCACATGACCCGGAAAGCTGTCTGTGGACAAATGCCGGCTCCCTCAGTCTGAAAGCGAGATGAGCACCTCACCCCATAGTCGCCTTTGACTGGACTTAACCGTCCAGGGCTCCTTTTTTATGAGGTCGTGTCGAGCAATCACAACCCTGCACTTTCCAGTGTAGGTTCCCATCACTTTCCTTACTGTAAAGAGTCCCATTTTTAAATGCTTTATTTTTGTTTTTGTGCAGGAGACCAGATCTACTTGAATCTGTCAATGTGTGATTGAGTCCTGCCTCCAAAATAGGGAGAGTTTGGAAGCACCTAATGAAACAGTGATTACTGGTAACATGAGTCCATCCATCCTTTTCATGGCACCATCTCTGTCAGTTTTTAGGCACCAGGCTAAGACTTTTCTGTTGACCATGGCCTTCACAACAACAATAACATTGTTATTTATACTCCGCCTATCTGGCTGGATTGCCTCAGCCACTCTGGGCAGCTCCCAACTCATATAAAAACATAATATAATAAATCTTCCCAATACATGGCTGCCTTCAGGTGTCTTCTAAAAGTTGTATAGTTCTTTATCTCCTTGACATCTGGTGGGGAGGGTGCTCCACAGGGAGGGTGCCACTGCTGAGAAAGGCCTCATCTTTTTCTGGAGTGGGATGGACTTGGCCCTTGTTAATTCATTTCTGGACGAGCTTTTTACATCTCTTGCATTGTTAGTGTTTTAAATTTTCTCTGGTTTTGTTTGTATATGCTGTATTCTTTGGTTGTAAAGTTGTTTTGAGATTTTTGCTGTGAAAAGTGACTGATAAATTAAATGCATAATAATATGAAAAACCTCTGGTGGGGAGCCATTTCCAGTCAATGTAGACAGTTCTAAACTAGGTGGTCAATGATTTGCTGGTAGGAAGCACATTTTGATGGAAGCGTCGGGCCAGGTGTCTTGCTAAAGTCCCGTAAATGCAAGGAGAGCGCTTGTTTTCTGGCATGTTGGTCTCCAGTCACAAGGAAATCCATGTGGCTTCCAAGTAAATAGTCTCACTAGTATTAGGAAGAAGTAAGGGGCACCAGGATAACAGAAGCCTGAAATAGTAAAAGACTTGTTCCCGTGGTTTCCTCAAGCATGTTCTTGTTTCTCGCAGTGAAGATTGCTGACTTGGAGATCAGGAAGTTGAACCCGCTTTTTTTTCCTGCCTAGGACAAAGTTGCGCAATAATCTTTGGCGCAAACAGGAAACAGACCCAAAGAAAAACATGCTGAGTTCAAGGAAAGTGAACAAACTAGCACATACTGGTTATGAAAATCTTTGCAATTTCTTCTCACAATTAGTCTGACTCATGGATCAAAGGTTCACCAGCTGGATCAAAAGTTTACGGTTTGTGGAATAACTGTTGCCCAAGTAGGAAACCACATAGAAGCACCCAAGCAGTGCAAATCAGTCATTTGTGGATGGCTGTGAACTCACTATACAGTGGTACCTTGAGTTACAGACGCTTCAGGTTACAGATGCTTCAAGTTACAGACTCCGCTAACCCAGAAATAGTACCTCGGGTTAAGAACTTTGCTTCAGGATGAGAACAGAAATCGCGCGGCAGCAGGAGACCCCATTAGCTAAAGTGGTACCTCAGGTTAAGAACAGTTTCAGGTTAAGAGCAGACCTCCAGAACAAATTAAATTCTTAACCCGAGGTACCACTGTACATTTAAAGCATATTCCTCCTCTGAAAGAATCTTAGAAACTGTAGTTTACTACAGTTCTCAGGTTCTTTTTGTGTGTGTGTGTGGGGTGAACTTTAAATGTATGGCGTGTACATACATTGGCTGGCCCAAGACACTTTGCTGCCTCAGGCAAAGGAAGGATGGCATCCCTTCCCCATTCTGTTTGCAAAACCCCAAACCAACGGGCAGTAGCGGTGATGGGGGCAGCATCCTTCACAACACTTGAGGGCAACAGACTAGCTTAGGTTGTGCTGGGCAGGTTGCATAGCACACATGGCTATGACTTCCAAAAACTCGCCACTACTTCCTGCTCTCTAGCACTTGGTGCAACTGCCTCACTCTCTGAAATGGTAGGGCCAGCCTTGGAATGATAGCCTCATTATTTGCATCTGTCATGGATCCCTCTTTGAAGAAATGCCCACATGTTCTTTAGTTAGTTGCTATGCTGCTTTCTGGCACAGAGCAGAGGTGGCATTAATTATAATTGTTGTTATTTTATTTATGATTACATTTGCATTGTGCCCTTCCTTCCAAGGGAGTTTCCTCCTCCTCAATATCTTGTCTCAGGATTCCCTGTCTACGTGGATTAGTCTGCCAAAGAATCCCTGTATGACCATTGCAGCTATTGTGGTCATTGTGCATTGCAGAGCATCCTGGGGCACGTTCTACGATGCACAGTCTGTTTACATGGAAAGCTGGTCATGTCTTTGGGATGTCACACCATTCGATGTGGCACCTGTGCATCCTTCTTCTTAAGCAGATCATAGGAAGTTACTTTTGGTCAGACTATTGGTCCATATAGCAGGGGTCTCTCCTTGCCCTACCTGGGGACACCAGTGGTTGAACTAGGAACCTTCTGCATGCAAAGCAGATGCTCTACCCCTGAGCCACAGTCTCTCCCCAAAGTGGATGACACAGATGCCTTGTGACATCAATTTGCTCTCCTCTGTCACTTGCCTTCCACTCCCATGTCAGCAGCAGAACTGAGTCATCCATCCATCCATCCGTTGCTTTGCAGGGACAGGAAGCACTGCTCAGCAGAGTCTAATAGACCAAGCAGCTCCACTGCCAGGAAGACAAAGCCACAAGGGGGAAGGACGACTCTTGTCCTCTGGAGTTGTCAAAAGAGTGAGCACGCGCCAGTCCGTTCCCATCACAAAATAAATAAATTAAGGACTAGGGAACATGAGTCTCCCAGGACTCAAAGCCCTGGAGTTTGCTGCTGTTTTTCGGAGTGGAGTTTGGTTCCTTTGTTTTCAATTGTCATTGTCAGATTCTCTGAAAGGCTCCCTGGTGGGTAGCTGTGAATGTGCACAGAGGAGCAATTGTACATGACGCATGGCTAAGCACAAGGGACTCTATGCGATTGCACTGTCTTGCCTAGCCCCCTTTCTCTCGGTGTGTCCTGTCCCGAAATGAAACTCCTCCGCAATGCTTTCCTCACGCTGAAGGCTCCTGGGGGGAGAAACGCACGGCTTCCTCCAGAGGTTGAATTTTGCATTTTCTCAGAAGGCCAGTGATGGGGTCACACTTTTAAACAAACGTTATTTGATTCTGAGTCTCTCTTTGTGACTATGTGTGTGTTATATATCTAGAAAGATATTCAAGGTGGCTCCCAAATTTACATGTCAAAACGAGGAGCAAACAGTGAAACAGAAGCAAAACTAACAACATTTTAAATAAGCAGAAGTCAAAGAAAACCAACAGAAGCAGTCAGACAAAGAAATTATTCCATTCTAGGAGGGTACCGGGACTTGGGTGGCACTGTGGGTAAAACCTCAGTGTCTAGGACTTGCCGATCGCATGGTCGGCGGTTCAAATCCCCACAGCAGGGTGAGCTCCCATCGTTCCCAGCTCCTGTCCCAGCTCCTGCCCACCTAGCAGTTCGAAAGCACCCTTAAGTGCAAGTAGATAAATAGGTACCGCTTTATAGCGGGAAGGTAATGGCATTTCCGTGCTCTGCGCTGGTGCTGGCTCGCCAGAGCAGCTTCGTCACGCTGGCCACGTGACCCAGAAGTGTCTTCAGACAGCGCTGGCTCCCGGCCTCTTAAGTGAGATGAGCGCACAACCCTAGAGTCGGACACGACTGGCCCATACGGGCAGGGGTACCTTTACCTTTACCTTAGGAGGGTATCACAGACTTGCTGGAAAAGCACCAGCTTTCATCTGGTATCTAAATGAAACAAAGAGGGTGGAGTGGGATTCTTCAGAGAGAAAGCTCCACAGACCTGGTGCCGCTGTTGAAAAGGCCTTGCCCCTTTAACCTACCAGTTGCCCATGGTTACCAGTGTGCTCACCAGTTCCTCTAATGGCACACATGAAAGGTCTCTGTAAATATCCCTTCAAAAATCTACTATGCACAAGAGACTGTTTCTTGCTCCATTCCTGCTTGCACAGGCTCAGCCTCTCCTATATTAAACATGCCATTGTAAATATGCTTACATTTCATGGGATGCCAGGACTGGACAGGACCCCTCCCTTCCATCCTCAAGAGAGAAGGGTTTATTTCTCTGTGTGAGCATGGTGCTGCTGACATAGGTGCCTCCCCCCCCCCATTCATTGGGGGGGGTGCCTGTTGGAAGTGCATCTCCAGGTAGGGCTGGGAGATACCTTCATCTAAAACCCTGGAGAATTCCAGGCAGTGGAGACAATCCTGAGTGAGATGGACCAATGGTCTGATTCGGTACAAAGCAGTGTCTTATGTTCCCGCATAACCACTCTCTCTCTGTGTGTGTTTGGCTAGCCCGCTCTCCCTATCCTCCATGCAGAGAAGAAAGAAGCATGATCAGAACTCAATGACACATTCCAGCCAAGCAAAGGCATCCAAGATCCTGGATGTCAAGACACAAAGAGATCCAAGATGCTGGGCCAGTAGAAGGTGTGGCTGGGGAGGAGATAGTGGGCTAGAAGGAGTCCTAAGGGTCAGACAGGGATGCTTGGAAACAGTGGTGCCTGCCTCAGCCAACCCCCATCTCTCTGCCTTCCTACTTGCACCCAGTCCAAAGGGTAGCAATGCCTGTCTTCTTTATCCTCCTCAGTATCTATGCCGTTAGAAGAGTACATAGACTTGTGGTTTTCCACACCGGCTGTAAAACCAAAGTCTTTGAAGAGTAGAACCCAACCCCCAGGCTGTCAATACTCCCAGCAACTATTATGTCTATCTTGGCTCTGCTGGGCTTGCTTGTTTGTTCTCTCTCCTCAGTCCATCCCTGACTCAACTCTTATTCAGAATTTCCATTGCCTCCCCAAGACCTGATAGAAAAGAGAGACACCCAGAGAGCTGGGTGTCATTAGCATCCGGATGACGCAACGCCCCAAATTTCTGCATGATCTCACCCAATTAAACCTTGCAACAGAGTTTGGAGACTGAAACTGTTTGAGCCCATGAATGCCATGGAATCAGAACTTGGTTCAAAATGCATTGAGCTGAATTAAATGCAGTTCGGCACAACTAGAGGTTTTGAACCTTTTTTTTTTACTACATGCAGAGGCCTTTCTCATCTTTGCTTTTCAATGGCATTAAAAAATGGTGCTGAGAAATTCAAGAGAAATAACAAGTGCCACACGCCCCTTTCCATCTGCCGGCAAAGGTCATCCAGTATGGTGATCAAATCAGCCTCTTTTCCTAAAACCACGTCAAAAGATAGATAACGATGGCCCCTGTTTCACCAACAAGCTGGTTAATGATTCTGGTATTTTGGTAGGTTCTCCAGTTTTCTAACTAACCCTTTTATACCATAAGCTGACTACAGTCAGGGCACCACTCATGTCCTGAGTTCGCTCTTAGAAGGAGTGGAACACATATAGTGTCCTCTTTGTCTTTATATCTGCTGTTGGCTTGTCTCTCTATAGAATTTTTCTTCCTGTAGGATTTTCTTAGGTTTATGCATAAGCCAACTACCAATTTTTAGGAGCATTTCTGAAGGAGGTGGGAAGGCATGCATTGAGCTCCTATGGCCCCAACTGAAGGGAAGGGAGTCAATTATCAGCCCCTTTCTTTTTCCTTCCATGTAGGGATAGGGAAAAAATTGATTCATTTAAAGGCAAACCTACTTAATCTGCACTTTCTGAAACAATATATGAACTGAAAGAGCCATCTTACAAAATTCATGCCTCTCCAAAATTGGCAGTGCAGCTTTCCAACTAAGTAATGTGTACAAAAATGCATATACTAACCCCCCTATGCAGGGATGTTTTGACTTTTCAAGTCTGGCATTGGGCCAGGAGGAGTTTGGAGTTGTGGGGGTCCTCAACTTTGGAGGGACCTTGAAACATGCTTTTAAATACCACATGGAGTTCAGTGTGGACTATGGAAAAGGGGCTGATCTGTCAAGAAGGGACAAAAATATTGTCAAGCTGGAGTCTCCACGAGTGAAAGGAGCAGAAGACAAAGTAAAGTACAGGTATAAATATGAAGAAGATCTGCGGAAGGGACATGGTAGAGACCTAAGGGCCTCGGACATAAGGTTACCAGGTTAATGAACTAGATGGATGGGATAGAAAGGACTGACAAAACCCGAGACCAGGAGGAAGAGACGTTGGATGAAGATTGGAAGAAAGTTTTAAAAATTCTACTTAGGAATGTTTTCTAAAATTAATGAGTATTAGAAAAATGTTGGAACGAAATTATTTGGCTTTAGCAGAAATGTTAAAAAGAACTATGTAAGAATATGTTATGGTTATGAGAAATTGGTATAAATAAGATTTAAGTTTTAAGTTTTAGGGTTTTTTATGGTAAGATAAGGTTAAAATAGATTAAGGTAATTTAATGACAGAATATTATGAAAAATGGAAAGGATTTGCTGTGACAATCAACAACTAGAATACAAAAAGGGAGGTGTGAGGAGGTCGATGAAATAAGGTAATGACAGTTAAGGATTTGGGAATATTGGATCTGTTTTTAAATCTTTGAGGTTTATTTTTGCTTTCTGATTTTGATGTGCTATGTGTTTTGTTTTTGCTTTTTGCTTTTGACTTTTATCGATTTGTATTGTTTAATTGCTATTTGTTTCTTTCTTGTTTTTTTCCTTCTTTTTCTCTTTATTTTTTTTGTAATTTTAAAATTCTCAATAAACATCATTCAAAACAAAACAAAACAAAACAAAAATGCATATACTAGGGTAGGATGTGCACAAAATGTACTAATGGAAATAGCATATAAACGTGCATTATATTAGGAAGAATTTCTTTGCAAAAATGTGCATTTTAGGCAGCGGCAGGCTTGGGTACTTGTGTTTCTAGACCAATGACTTAGAAACATTTTGCCAATTTTTGTAGCCTAAATTTTGCTGCCTGTGTTTTCTGACTGTTATGTGGAAGAGCACATGAATCTGACCTTTGAAGAGTTTGTAAGGAAAAACCAGTTTTAACTTACCAAACTCTGTGGTCTTTTCTACGCTAAAGAGGAAGCAACTTGTGAGAGATGATGAGCTGCTTGTGCGTAAAATCGTATCCCCTCAGAGTTTGTTCAAGTCCACAAACCTCTGTCTGTGACGGAGCCCCTCAGACATGGCTCCTCTAGTCACTAGCAGATTCCGACAGTGGTTGCTTCGTAATCGCTTCCAACATAAAAGCTCCTTAACGGAAACACGTCTTCTGGACTCTCTGCGTGACAGTTTCCGGCGAGGAGTGGGTGTTCTTACAGGAGGTCCTGAAACCTCCCCACTGTTTTCGCTGGAAGTGTCTCTGAGCCATCCCTCCAGCTCAGCTCCTCTCCCCCTGCTGGTTCCCTCTTCAGCTGCTGCGTCTCTCCCAACCTGTGTGAGCCCTTTCACCTCCCTGCTGGTTCCCTCTTCAGCTGCTGCGTCTCTCCCAACCTGTGTGAGCCCTTTCACCTCCCTGCTGGTTCCCTCTTCAGCTGCTGCGTCTCTCCCAACCTGTGTGAGCCCTTTCACCTCCCTTC